TCACCTGGGTCACTGTGTCACTGTCACCTGGGTCACTGTGTTACCTGGGTCAGTGTTACCTGGGGCAGCTGTGTCACCTGTGTCACCTGGGTCACTGGGGTCACTGTGTCTCCTGGGTCACTGTGTCACCTGAGTCACTGTGTCACTGTCACCGGGGTCACTGTGTCACCGGGGTCACTGTCACCTGGGTCACCGTGTCACCAGAGTCACTGTGTGACCAGAGTCACCTGGCTCACAGGTGTCACCCTGCGCTGGGGCACCCTGGGGCAGCTGCTGGCACCTGCCCCGAGGGCCTCAGGTGGCACCTGCAGCCAACCCCTGCACCCACAGCAGCACCCCACACCTGCGCACCTGCACCCCAAATCTGGGCACCTGTATTTCACATCTGGGCACCTACAACCACACCTGGGCACCTGCACCCCACACCTGGGCACCTGTACCCCACACGTGGGCACCTGCAGCAGCACCTGGGCACCTGCACCCCACACCTGGGCACCTGTACCCCACACGTGGGCACCTGCAGCAGCACCTGGGCACCTACAACCACATCTAGGCACCTGCACCCCACACCTGGGCACCTGTACCCCACATCTGGGCACCTGTATTTCACATCTGGGCACCTGCACTCCACACCTGGGCACCTGCACTCCATACCTGGGCACCTATACCCCACACCTGGGCACCTACAACCATACATGGGCACCTGTACCTCACACCTGGGCACCTGTATTCCACATCTGGACACCTGCAGCCACACCTGGGCACCTGCACCCCACACCTGGGCACCTGTACCCCACATCCGGGCACCTGCCCCTCACTGCTGCCCCCACACCTGGGCACCCCCGCTGTCTGCGCCCCTCTGCTGGGAGCCCACACCTGCCCCTGGCCCCGGGGACCCCCTGCCCCCCGCCCCCCACGGCCAGGGCCCGGCTGCGGGCGCGGGGGGTGCCGTGGGGTGCCGTGGGGTGCCGGGGGGTGCCGTGGGGTGCCGGGGGGGCAGGGGGGCACTTACGGGGTGCGGCGGGGGCTCCGCCCGGGGGGCCGCTGGGGGCTTTGGGCTCCGGCGGGGGCAGGGGCAGGGGCCGGGCCAGGGGGGCCCCCGCAGCCCCCCCGGCCCGGCCCTGCGCCCCGCACGGCTGCAACGAGAACACGGTGACGGACCCCCGGGACCCCCGGGGCGGGGCGGGGCGGGGCGGGGGTGGTGGGGGGTCGGGGAGGGGTCCTGCAGCCCCCCTTTTAGGGGGGGGGGGTTTCCACGTGGGGGTCCCCCAGGTGGGAGGTCCCCGGTGGGAGCTCCGCAGGTGCGGGGTCCCCAGGTGGGGCGTCTCCAGGTTTGGGGGGTCCCCATGTTGTTGGGGGTCCCCAGGTCGGAATTTGGGGGGGGGGTCCCCGTCACCCCCTCCTGGCGCTGCCGCGGCCGGCGCGGCCACCTCGGCTCGTTTGCATACAGGCCCCGCCCCCTGCGCTATATTTGCATACAGACCCCGCCCCTCTCGCCTGATTTGCATATCGCGCATCTATTCGCCCTCCGGCCGCACCTAATCTGCATACACGCCCCGCCTCCTCGCCCTCATTTGCATCCGGGGAGCGGCCCCGCCTCCTGCGCCTCGTTCTGAGCCAGGCCCCGCCCCCGCAGGGGAGGGGGGGGTCCCGGTGTCCCCACGACCCCCGGGATCTCCCCGCGACCCCCGGGGCTTCTCCGCGACCCCCGGGGCTTCTCCGGGACCCCCGGGGCTTCACCGCGACCCCCGGGGCTTCTCCGCGACCCCCGGGGCTTCTCCGGGACCCCCGGGATCTCCCCGCGACCCCCGGGGCTTCTCCGGGACCCCCGGGGCTTCTCCGCGACCCCCGGGGCTTCTCCGGGACCCCCGGGGCTTCTCTGCGACCCCCGGGATGTCCCCGCGATCCCCGGGGCTTCTCTGCGACCCCCGGGATGTCCCCGCGATCCCCGGGGCTTCTCCGGGACCCCCGGGGTCTCCCCTCGATCTCCGGGACTTCTCCGCGCCCCCCGGGGCTTCTCTGCGACCCCCGGGATGTCCCCACGACTCCCGGGGTGTCCCCACGATCCCCGGGATGTCCCCGCGATCCCCGGGACTTCTCCGCGACCCCCGGGATCTCCCCGCGACTCCCGGGATGTCCCCACGATTCCCGGGGCGACCCCACGACCCCCGGGGTGTCCCCGCGACCCCCGGGCCGCCCCCGCGCCCGTCCCCGGCGCACCTGGGGGCCCTGGGCGGCGCCGTCGGCGCAGACGAACTGCACGAAGTCCTTGAGCGAGTCCTGCCCGTGGTGGTAGCGGATGGTGGGGTGGGCGAAGTAGGGGCTCGACTGGGGCAGGAGGGACCCCGACGGGAAGTGCAGCGCCGAGGCCGTGGCCCGCGGGCTGCCTGCAGGGACCCTCAGCGCCAGCGCCGGCGGCCGCGGGACCCCCGCCCCATTCCATCCCCGGGGCCGGCCCGACTCCCCCCAACACCCCCCCACCCGCCCGCCCAGGGACGCCCCCCCGGCCCGGCCCGGCCCGCCCCGGGGTCACCCGGCAGCCCCCCGGGCCCGGGGGTGTGGGGTCTCACCGGGGCGGACGCCGGCCAGGACGGGCAGGGGGTGGTGGCCGAAGGCCATGCGGGGCGCGGCGCCGTGCCCCGACAGGGCGCTGCAGAAATCCAACTTCCCCGACTTCTTCAGCGCCGCCGGGCCTGGGGGGGCCCAGGGGGTCGGGGGGGGGCAGCCGGACCCCTGCACCCCCCGCCCTCCCCCTCCCCAGACCTCTCCCCGCCTACCCCCAGACCCTCCGGCACGGACCCCGCCACTCCCCGGTGCTCCCCCCGCAACCCCTCCCCGTCCCCGCTGTCCCCCCCACCCCGCCGCATCCCCAGAGCCTCCCCGTTACCCCCGGCCCGGTGTCCCCATGTCGCGATGTCCCTCCCGACTCCTCCGTCCCCCCAAGCCCCTCCGTACCCCCCCTCCCCAAGGCTCCGGTGCCCCCGAAGCCCCCCGGGTCTCACCCACCGGTGTCAACGTCCCCCCCCCAGGGCCCCTGGCTGCTGCCGGGGGCTGGGGACCGCCCCGGCCCGGGGTAGAAGACGTCGTCGCCGGGACCCTCCAGGTCCCCCTCGTCCAGCGCCTTGGGGCGCTTCGGGCCGCTGCGGGGACAGGGCTGTCACCTCCGGGCCCGGGGCGTCACCCCGCCGAGCGCCCGGGTGATCCCGGGGGATCCCGGGGGTCCCAGCCCCCCGCCCAGCTGTCAAAAGGGGGGTCCCAGGTGCTGGTGGGATGCGAAGCGGAACCCCCCCCAAATCGCAGGGTTTTGGGGCAAACCCCCAAATGGGGGGGCCCCGGCAGGTTTTGGGGGTCCGAGGGGTTTGTGGGGTGCAAGGGAGAGCGTCCAGACCCCAAGGGGTCCTGGGGGGATGGAGAGCCCCTGGGGAGGGGAGCACCCCAAAAAGGGGGAGCCGGGCTGGGTGAGGGGGGGGCGCTGGGGGTCGCAGGGGGTCGGGGGTCCCGGTACCTGGCGGTGGGGGGTCCCAGGGGCCGGCGGCCAAGGGCGACGGGGCTGATGTTGTAGTAGCCCCCCGGGCTCTCCAGGTCAGCCAGCGAGAAGTTGGGGCCCGACGCCGTGGCCACGGGGGCTGGGGGGGACACGGGGGGCACGTGGGGGACCCACGCAGGGCCACCCCCACCCGGCCGTGCCCCCCCGGCTCCTCCGTCCTCCCATTCCCTACCCCCGGTGCCATCCCAGGCTCTGTTCCCGCTCTGTGTCCCCTCCATGTTCCCCCCGGTGTCCTCCCGGTGCCATCCCAGGCTCTGTCCCCTCCCCGTGTCCCCTCCCGGTGTCCCCCTGGTGTCCCCCTGTGTCCTCTCTCCGTGTCCCCTCCATGTCCCCCTGGTGTCCCCCCGGTGTCCCCCCCGGTGCCATCCCAGGCTCTGTCCCCTCCCCATGTCGCCTCCGTGTC